AAATGTAGCAGATTTTCATTAAAAAATTATGAATCCGGAGAAAATGTATCTTATTGTCATAACAAAAAAAGTCTGAATCGGAAGCACATGTAGTTGATTTTCATGACAATTTTGAATCCGAAGAAAATGTATTTTATTTTCATAAAAAAGTTTAAATCCGAGAAAATATAGTCGATTTTCATAAAAAATTCAGAATCCGCAGAAAATTTAGTGCATTTTAATAAATAAGTGGCTGAATTCGAAGAAAATGTAGTTTATTTTAATAAAAAGCCTGAATCTGAATAAAATGTTTTTGATTTTCATAAAAAAAAGTCTGAATCCGAATAAAATGTAGATTATTTTCATAAAAAATTCTGAATCCGAAGAAAATGCTATTGATTTTCATAAAAAGACTGAATCCGAGGAAAATGTAGTTTGATTTTCATAAAAAATCTGAATGCGAAGAAAATATAGCTTATTTTCATTAAAAAGTCTGAATCCGAAGAAAATTTAGTTGATTTTCATAAAAACATCTGAATCCGAGGAAAATATATTTTGATTTTCATTAAAAAGTCTGAATCCGAAGAAAATGTAGCTTATTTTCATTAAAAAGTCTGAATCCGATGAAAATGTAGTTGATTTTCATAAAAAATACTGAATCCGAGGAAAATATATTTTGATTTTCATTAAAAAGTCTGAATCCGAAGAAAATGTAGCTTATTTTCATTAAAAAGTCTGAATCCGATGAAAATGTAGTTGATTTTCATAAAAAATACTGAATCCGAGGAAAATATATTTTGATTTTCATTAAAAAGTCTGAATCCGAAGAAAATGTAGCCTATTTTCATAAAAAGTCTCTATCCGAAGAAAATGTAGCTTATTTTCATAAATAAGTCTGAATCCGAAGAAAATGTAGCTTATTTTCATAAAATGTCTGAATCCGAACAAAATGTAGCTTATTTTCATAAAAAAGTCTCAATCCGAAGAAAATGTAGTTGATTTTCATGAAAAAAAGTCTGAATCCGAAGAAAATGTAGCTTATTTTCATAAAAAAGTCTGAATCCGAAGAAAATGTATCTTATTTTCATAAAAAACCTGAATCCGAAGAAAATGTAGCTCATTTTCATAGTTCTAAATAAAAAAGGATGAACATATAAAAACGTAACTTATTTTTATTATTCTAAATAAATTGCCATAACCTGCAAAAAATGTATTTATTTTCATAATTCTAAAGAAAAGGCATGAATATGAAGCAGATTCCGCTTATATATTTCTAAATAAAAAGCATAAATAAAAAATAAATATAAATAGCATGAATGCGAAGAAAATATGTCTCTTTTTCATATTTCGAAATAAAAAAGTATAAAACTTAAGAAAATATATCTTTTTTTCATATTTTTAAGCAAAAAAGTCTTTGAAAATGTATTTTATTTTCATAATTCTAAAGAAAAGGCATTAATCTGAACAGATTTCGCTTATCTTCATATTTCTAAATAAAATATATAAATCTGTAGAATGTGTAGCTTTTTTTAATATTTTTAAATAAAGAAGCATAAACGAGTAGAAAATATAGCATATTTTCCAATTTCTATATACATATGCATAAATCTGAAGAAAATGTGCCTTATTTTCACAATTCTAAAGAAAAACTCATTTATGTGCAGCAGAATTCGTGTTGGAATATGTAGAAACGAGTAGAAAAGTTACGACGTCAAGTACAAAAATAGGACAAAGTAACAAATGAAGGAAAATGAGTAAAAATAATGTAGAATAGGATAAAAATATGATCATATAACTAATTATGTTATACGTTGTGAAAATAGTGAAGAAAAGGCCAAAATTAGGAAAAAGGTACAAAAGAAGTTAAACGTAAAGAGATTGTGAGGACTAGGATAAAATTAGAAAACAGAACAAAAAGTCGAAAACGGATAGAAAGATAATGAGGAAAACTACAAAAATAGGACAAAGAAACAAAAGAAGAAAAGGAAAACGGAAAAATAGTGAAGAAATTATAAATATGTGAAAATGAATTAAAATAAACCAAACAGCCAGAAAGTCAGTGAAGAATATGAAAAAAATAAGAAAAGGTACAAAAGAATGAAAACTCCCAAAATATTGAAGAAAATAACAAAATCGGAAATCAGAACGAAATAAAGAAACAGTGTGAAAAATAAATTATGAAATGGATAAAAATAGAAAAATAAATTATGAAATGGATAAAAATAAAAAAATAAATTATGAAATGGATAAAAATCGAAAAAGGAACAAAAGAAGAAAAACAGACAAGAAAATATTGAAGAAAATGTTAACAATAGGAAAAATGAACAAAAGAAGGAAATCTTGCTGGAAAATAGTGAAGAAAAAGAAAAAAATTAAACTAAAGAAGGAAAACTGATAGAAAACAACAATGATAGGAAAAAGGAAGAAAAAAATAAAATAGGATAAAATAAAGACGTTAGAAATCACACAAAAACATAGTGCAGAATAATATGAAAATGGAATAAAATTAAGAGAGCTGCCAGGAAAATATTGTGAAGAAAATGATCAAAATATGAAAAAATGGAAGCATACCGTAGGAAAAATAAACAAAAAACTAAGAGAAACACAGGACTGTGGAAAAAATATTGACGAAACAGGAAAAAATAATTAAAGTTTGAAAATGTGCGTAAAAATATTTAAGAACTGAATAAAAACAGGGGAAAAACAGAAGTACGATAACAATCGTAAAAATATTGAAGAAAAGAGCAAAAATAGGAAAAAGGGACCAAATTATAAAAAAGGAGATGAAAATATGGGGGAAATTAATAAAAGTAGAAAGATGAACAAAAATAATACTGGTGAAAACAGTAAAAATAAGAAAAAGAAAGGAACGAAAGTCGGAAAACGAGGAGAAATCTAGGCAAAAATGAAATAAAAATATGAAAACAGGAAGGAAAACTAGGAGGAAAGGAATATACATAGCTTAAAATACTAAAGTAGGAAAAATGAATAAAATGTTTGGAAATTGAATAGAAAAAAAGGACCAGAAATAATGAGAATGGATAAAAAATAGTAAAAATGAAAAATGTAGAAGAAAAAAAATGAAAATAAAAAAAAATAATGAAAATAAGAAAAAGGAACAAAACCGTGTAAAGGTAAGTAATAGAAATCGGATTAATGAAAACGTTTGAAATCGAAGAAAAGAAAAGGAAAAGGAATAAAAATAGGAAAATATAAAAAATAAGTAAAAACAAATAAAATTATGAAAATTTGCTAAAAATGAACAAAACTTGAAAGAAGAAACCATCAATATAAATTAGAAAAAGTAGCAATAGTGGAAAAAAAAGAAAGAATCGGAGAATAAAAGTAGAAAAAATTTAGGAATAGAAGAAAGAAGCGAAAAATTAAGAAAATATTCAAGAGTAAGAGAATAGAATTAAAAATAGACTAAAAGGACAATGATAAAATGGATAAAAATAGAGACATTATTATATTTATACAGAATTAAAATTTAAAATAGAATGTATTGTATTTAAGTGAGCCAGAAGGTAGTAAAATCCGAAAGAAAGAATAAAAATAGAATAAAGAAAAAATATTGGATAAAACCGGAATCGAAACCGAAAGAAAAGAATTAAAATAAGGCAAAAAGAAATTAAAATAGATAGAAATTAGTAAAATGTATTAAAATAGAATAAATGAGAATTTCGACAAAATTATAAAAATAGAAGAAAGTAATAAAAAGACGAAAAGGGTGTCGGAGTTACCTCCTCCTTCTATCCTTGAACCGGCAGAGGAACAGGTCATTTCGACCTTGACCTCTCATTCATGCTCCTTACACACTGTTAACACGTCCGAGGGACTAGCAAATCCCCTTTTTAGTTAGGCTATATTACAAACCTAGTTGTAATATACGACTAGTCATTTTTAGACCTTAGTTCTCTTTAGCTAACCTCGTAGTATTTTATTATAGAGACTTTTCGGTTAGCTCAACCAATTTCTCTTGCTGGTCCCCCTTGTCACAAGACAGTGATTTCTCCCTAGATTCTGAGAGGCGGTCGGCGGCCGAAACGGTCGGCTATGCAGGCCCCTTGGACTTCACTGGCGATCAACGGGCTGTGTATTAAGTTACGCTCCCATTTTTTTTGTCTGCCAACTTGACGATAGTTGGGAACTTTCTCTCTCTCTCTCCTTCCCAACACGTCAAGTTGGCATCCCGGCAATGACAAACAACAAGTTGGTAACACGAACTGCAGCAACAAGTTGGCACCCCGGCAAAGACTAAGCTTCAACCAACAACGATCATCCTGGCATCAACCAACATCAACTTCAACAACCACCAAGCGATCATCCTGGCAACGACCCACATCAGTTTCAACCCCCAACAACGATGATCCTAGCCAACCTCGACCATCAATGCCTGCAGCATCCAGCTCACTCCTGCAGCTTCTAGCACTCCTGCAGCATCCCGCACTCCTGCTGTTTCCAGCTCACTCCTGCAGCTTCCAGCACCTCCACCGTTTCCGACCATCTTCATTTCCTTTTAGAATAAACCTCTATATATCTTACATATCCTCGTTCTGTCGTCCATAGTGTTTCACCGTCAGATTTAACGTCTTCTAAAATGTTAGCGGGCCTCTTGTGACCTCGTTCACCCCTTTCTGTGAAACGGGGCCACTGGACCGCCCGCTACAAGGGAATTAAAGAAGGAACATAAGAAATACGATAAAAAAGTGAAAAACATCGGGCAGAAATTAATAAAAATAGGGAAAAATTTAATCAAAATAAGACAAATAGATAGGAAAAATGAAACTAAAAGAGATAAAACATCAAATGAATCATATTAAGTTTTATTCTCAAGTATTTTTTCCAAAGTAGGTTTCTGACAACCATATATTTTTAATTAAAATCTCTATAAATTTTTATTTGTTGACTTTAAAATCTCATTTGTTGATTTGTACTTTCGATGATTATTTTATCAATATTTATTGCTTTTTTTTTAACAAATGAATTCTAGTAATATTTCATCTTCTATTTTTGTATAGGAAATTGTTAGTTTGGCAAGTCGGATTTTGAAGATTGCGATGCTAATGGACAAACCACGCCGTATAGACAAACGAAACCATGGCCTCATTGACACGATCATCAATTTACCCGATTTGGACAAAATCGGAAAAAAGTAACTCCAACAGCCTTGTAAGTATAATCTCGAAACATTTTCTGCAGATTTTACTTCAAAAGTGTTTTATAAAAAAAAACATGATTGGAGTTAATAAATATTTTAGCACGATTAGACAATATTCTACAGATATCAACTACTCAACTGGAAATCAACTATCGATCTTTTTTTTTTCATAAATTAAGAATTTAATACTATATTGTAAATCGTATCTTTGTCATTTTTATTTATTTATTATTTTATTTTATTTTTCGCTGAAAACATTTGCAAACACCATAAGATATATCAATGTATGTAAACAAAAGTGCCGAATATTTGTAGTTTCTGAGACAAACGTGTATATCAAGTTGACGCAGTTAAGAAATTTAAAGGATCTCTGAAGAAAAATGCTTTATAAAAGTCATATAGTTGTTTGATAATAATTTTTTCAATGTAATTTAATGTCCCTGTTTAATTCAGCTGAACCTTTAGATTGTTGCAATTCAAGATTGGTTAGAAATAGTTTTCAGTATGTGAAAAGAAAAATTAGAGGAGGTTGGAATGACAAACGTCTGCATCTATGATGTTGTTTGGGAATTGCATTTAAGGCAGAAGATAGTGGTAAAACTGACACCATGAACGTTGAAAAATATATTCATTCATCAAATCTAAGAAAGCGTCTAAATGGAAAGATAACAATGATCTCCTAAAGTCATGAAACTGTATCTAGATTAAAAAAAAACTACTTCTATTTAAATATTTTATAGTATTCTGTTATTTGTTCTTTGTTGTCCTTACCCGGAATGAGAAAGTAACAGAAATACAGTATTCTGGAGGAGTTATACGAACTTTTGAAGTACATGTTGTATAACATACACGGATATTAGTATTTTCCTAAAATAATTTAAAATTTTCTACTTGCAAAGAACAACAGAAGGGATCATAATAAATTGTGATTTTATCTAGCAGAAGCATAATTTGTTTGTATTTGTGTTGAAATCGAATATGAACGTATTTGCTAAAGAAGAAAAATGCTTATGGAACTCCTTCAAGGACGTCTCATTATCGACTGAGACAATACATTGGCGCATATCTGATTGACTAGCAAACAAGATCATGATCAAATTGGCTGGATACTTTCCAGACAAACAGTTTTTTAATGTGTGCGTATATATATATATATATATATATATATATATATATATATATATATATATATATTAGCTTAAACATAAATATTTATATATATGTTGGAATGTGTACATATACATGTGTGTGTATATATGTGTTCATATATTTAACTAAAATTAAATGTAACAAACGATTGACTCTCAGAAGATAAAATTATAGAATTATTCTAAACGACGTTGTATGCTTTCAGCAGTCGTTACTGACATTATAATGTAATGAAAAGTATGTCTGTGTATGATAGAGAAAGGCTGGGATATCATTTGTGTGCGTGCGAGCCGCGTTTAGTACGTATATGCACGCGCAATAAGCGTAACTCTTCATCGTTTTTTTTACGTATGCATGTTGATTCATTTTCATTGTTCCTTTTGTTTCATCTAATTGCCAAAATATAAATGAAATTATGGCACCCTCACTATGTATAAGGCAAACAATAAAGTCCTTGATTTTTCCGTCGTGTGGGAACTGATATGTAAATGAGTGCGTCATGCTCCGGGAAAGTGGTGGAGGTGGGTGTATTGCTCTTGACCAATGCAGGTGCGTTGTACACACACATCAGTCATAGCTGGAGCAGCGGCGAGGAAACGTGGCAGTGACGAAGCAGCTCAATTGGGGTTGTCTGCTTTATGACTTTAACGTAGGCTTGTCCGCAGAATACGTCAATCCATTGAGGGTAATGCTGTGAGTGATTGATTCCAGAAATTCAGGTCGAGAGATCTGCCCCTTTTGCGATGAACCCCGCAGTGCCCCGCTACAGGTCCTGGATGATGAGGCCATGAAGGCAGACAAAAAGGAGGAAACAGCCAAACCTGTTTAGAGCTTGTCGAACGCTTCCGAACAGTTAGACGCCATCTGCACCGCGTAGGTAAGGCTTAAAAGTTGAGCAAGTGGGTACCAACAAAAAACGAGTCACATCCTGTTTCTCGTTGATTTCTCAGCACCGCAACGTACATATATTTGATCGAGTGCTCACCCGTGACGAAAAGTGGGTCCAGTATGAGACTGCCAATCATGCTAGACATTGATTGTCACCACAGGGCACTGTCCCTCACGACGCAAGATCATGCTTTGTATTTGATGAACAAGATGTGGTGCAGTATGTGCTGCTACTAACGGGCCAAACCATTACTGCAGACCTGTAGTCACCGCTGTTGAAACGTGCAACAGACACTGAAGCAGAAGGAGCCAGCATTGCTTAATCGCAAGAGTGTACTGTTCTTCCAGGATAATGCTAGGCCTCATGTCGCACGTGTGGCCAGGGATACTATACCGGACTTGACTTCTTCCCGGAACTTGCGCCAACAGATTACAACCACTTCTATTTCCTGGACAACTACCTTCGTAGGAAATCTTTCGCAAATGAAACAGCCTTACGGCAGGCGCTCACAGACTTCTTTGCGTCCAAGACACATCATTTTTACCGCGAGGGCATTGCGCAGCTGGAGGCATGATGACAAAAGTTTCTGGATGCCGATAGGGATTACTTAGTAGACTAACGGTATGTCAAATGTGCTGTATATCTTTTTTCTTACAAATCAAAAACGGCGAGAATATTTATGTCTATCTATCTATCTATCTATCTATCTATCTATCTATCTATCTATCTATGTGTGTATGTGTGTGTGTTTATAGGTAAGCTAATTTAATTTCAAGCTAACAGATTAAATTTAATATTTCAAATTAGCAAAATACTTTGCTCTATTTAAAACCGAATTTAAATTGATTGGAATGATTTTTTGATTATCATTTAAATCGGTAAAATCGTCCATATTGACAAAACTGTCAACACAGCATAATTGTCTTCATGACAAAAATCTTTCAAAAATAAAATATAGTTTTCTGACACTTTATTTGAAGATTAACTAATATCAAGTTAAATAAATGTTAAACAAGTATAACTTTGAGTTTAAAATACCGCAGAAAAACATTTTAACACGGGTGTGTGTTTTTTATGAGGTGTTGAAGCGTGTATCAATAATCTGACGTTTGTGAGATTTATGCAAGGGCAAAATAATTGTAGTAAGATTACATGACGAATACAACGTAAACGCCTATTTATATATATTTTTTTAATTAGCCAGTAATCTCAAACATTTAAATATTTTAAGCATTCTAATATTTTATTGAAGTTTAGTTACTTTGGTTTTATAGTTTTACGAAGAGAATGAAGAAATGCTAGAAAATTACCAACAAATTTTAATTTTAATATAGTTAATCGTCTTTTTTCTGTGGTCTATGGACTCCTGAATTTACAAAAATCGGAATGTTTATATCTTTCTTTTTATGTGCCATGTCCTTTCAGGATGTAGGCGATCATGGCTCTCCACCGCCCTCTATCTTTTGCAGTTCTCAACAAGTTCCTTCCTTCTGCTTTCCTCCCCCAGGCGACATTCTGTCATCCACTTGCTTAAGTCCACCAGGAATGCCACGCGTTGTATTCCCTTGTTTCTATTTCCCTCTATTCGAGCCGTGAATATCAGATTCTCCAGGCTCTCCTTCCTCATTATGTGTCCCAGAAACTTCAGCTGCCTCTTCTTGATATTAAGTATAAGCCTCCTCCTTGTTTGCAACCTATCTAAGTCCTCATCGTTGCTCACATGCTCGGTCCATGATATATTTAGCATCCTTCTGTAGAACCACATTTCTGTCGCCTCGTGTCTCTTCTTCATCTTTGAGGAAATCGTCTAACATTCGCTGCCGTAAAGAAGGACAGATGTCACATAACAGCTCAGTATTCTTTTCATTGTTACCAAAGATATCCTCCTGTCTCGCAATACTCTGCCCAACTTTTGAAATGTGTCCTTGGCCATCCCAATACACCTGCGGATCTCAGTGTCGCACTTTACCGTCCCCTGCCAAAACGTTTCCCAGATATTTAAACTTCCGCGTTAGTTTGATTCTAGTGTTCCCGACCTTCAAATCGCATTTCGGGCTCATCCTCCTACTGACGACCATGCACTCCGCTTTCTTGTAGTCTATGCTTAGTCCCTTCTTCTCACTCTCCGTCGCTACCTTCTGTAGGAGAGTTTGTAATTTCTCTTCCGTGTCTGTTTTTGTCTTCCGTGTCTGTACTGTGTCATCTGCGTATCTTATGTTGTTAAGATTGTGGTCGCCAATGCTAAATCCCGGTAGGGCTTCCAATTCTCTCAGGATTGCTTCGCTGTATAGGTTGAACAGGTCGGGTGAGAAGACGCATCCTTGCCTTACGCCCCTTTCTATTGTGTATTCACTGAACTCGTTCCCTATGCGTATGCATGCTGTGTGCTACCAGTAGAGGTTCTTGATTATTCTGATATCTTTCCCGAATATATCGAGGTTCCCGAGCAGTTCCATCAGATCCTTGTAGCGTACTTTGTCGAAGGCCTTTGCGTAGTCTATGAAACATAGGTACACGTCCTTTTGCATTTGTATCGCTCTTTCTGATAAAATTCTGAGCATGAATATTGTGCTCCTTGTTCCCGTGTCTTTAACGAACCCTCAATGTTCTTCTCCTATTCCTGGCCTGATTCTGCTGTTCATTAGTATATGGATGATGAGTTTTGTTACATGGCTCATTAGACTTATTGTTCGGTGGAGTTTGCATTCGTTTGTGCCTGTTTTCTTAGCCATAGTTACGAAGATAGATCTGCTGAGGTCTTCCGGTATATCCCCCCTGTTGTAGATTTCATTCATTTCTGTTATATTGTCTATGCCAAAACCAATCTAATGCTGTCAGCACTTCCGTTACGATGACGTCTGGTCCAGCTGCCTTGTTTCTGTTCAATTTGGCCACTATATAGTCAATATAGTTTTATTTAATAACAATATCACTTGACAGCTACAAATTAATACAGAGTTTTAAATAATTAAAAGTATATAAATTACTCATTAAAAAAAAACGAAAACAATAATTGAAAAAAATTCAATATTCATCGAAAACTAGTGTCCATAATATATTTTATTCATAAAAGCAGTTAAAAGTTTATCTAATTAAATAAAATCTTAATTTTATTACATTTTTTACGACTCAGAGCAGATTAGTGGTGCTGTCTGAGCAATAAATGATGATTTGATGATTTAAATCAAAAAGAGAGATCATATAAGAGAGAGAGAGAGAGAGAGAGAGAGAGAGAGAGAGAGAGAGAGAGAGAGAGAGTCGGGGAAGAAAGAATATATAAGAAGGAAGTATTTTTGTCTCTTGAGTTTTATTGACTTTTTTCATATTCTATTTCAGATAAACAATGATGTTAAAGCAGGCCTTACACTCATCATGAAGCAATCGCACAACCTTTCTATGTTCAATAATGGATTCATAGATTTGTATTTCTGTTGAATAATAAATTGCAAATAAATGACTTCATATTGCAGCGTAATATTTGTATTTATATTTATTTTTGAACAGAAAGATATTTCCATTGGAACAGCATTTTTCAAAGACACAAGTGAAAATAAATTCGGATATTTTAAAGGAAACTAGCATTTGATATTTCAATAGAGAAAAGAATCAGTATGAACTCCGCTAATAAGGAAATATTCCAACAGCACAGTAACTTTTATAACACAGCCCTTTAAAAAATAGCGGATACAAAAACGCTAACAAATTATAGAAACAATATTACTAACCAGAAGAAAAACAGGAAAAGAAAAATCATTTGGTATACCCCCCGTTCAACCAAATGGTTAACATTAAGCTAGGACATAAGTTCCTAGCTTTAATTGAAAAACACTTTCCTACTAATAGCAGACTTAGCAAGATCTTTAATAAAAACACATTAAATTAAGTTACAGTTGCACTGAAAATCTAGAAAGAATCATAAAAAAAAAACATAATAATAAAATCCTGGAAAGACACGCATGCCAAAACCGTATTAATAAAAATCCTAAACTAAAATTAGACAAAAATAATTAAAATTTATATGATTGTAGAAAACCCGAAGACTGCCCGTTGGAAAATAAATGCCGCGCAAAATCTGTGGTATACCAATGCACTATGTCATCCATAGAGAGTCCTAACACTGATAGGATATACATTGGTTCAACGAAGAATGAATTTAAAATTAGATGGAGACAACAGAAAAGCTCCTTCAATAATATTAGAAATAGAAATCAGACATCTCTATCCAAATATTTTTGGCATTTAAAAGAAATGAATAAAACACCAAAAGTAAAATGGAAAATAATAAATAGAACCTGGGATGACCCATTCCCTTTATGCCTACATGAAAAACTACACATTATTAAGTTTCTTAATAATGAAAATTTATTAAACCATATAAATGAGTTAATGGCTTTTTGCCGACATCAATAAATTTTCGCATTAAATAATTAGCATAAAAAAATTAAATTTCATAGTCTAATAAAAGGCTAAGTCATAAGATAGAAAATCCCTTTATGAAGTCGTCAAAAAAACTGTAGTTCAGTACGACGCGTTTTTAACAGCCCTTTAGAAAAAAAAGAATAAATAAATAAATTGATAAAATAAAATAAAATAAAACAAAATTCTCTAGACACTTAATGACATATTATGGTGCCAAAAGCTATCTTTCGCTGTGACTGACCAGAGGATGTGCCTAGATGAATGCCATTCTTCGCTTTGAAATGGAAACCCCGACCCTACCTAGGCTAGATTCTCTCCGAAGGTGACTGATATGTGGAAAAAAATTAACTCTTAGGCCCCTTATCAAAATGGTTGCCTCAACCGTTTCCATAGTAATTATTTTGCGAATGAACATGCTTATAAAGATGCGTAAATTTCAAGATTGGTTATTCCTAAATTTTCGACTGAGGATGAAACAGGGCTTGATACTTTAATTCAATTTAATTTTATTAATTATATTGAGGTTTTCGGCTCTCGTTTTTGAAACATGAGAACTCTTATGTAGCGAAGGAAACATATGTTTTTTTTTAAAAATATGTTCTTATGTAGCGAAGGAAACATATGTTTTTTTTAAAAATCATTATAATTTAAGCTCTACTTCTGTATGGAGCACTGTTTTTAAAAATAAAAGCAAAAATACTGAAGAACTCCGGATTATTTACCTAACGTGTTCTTTCCTATTTTTCTACATATCTGCACACACACTTACGTATATATATATATATATATATATATATATATATATATATATATATATATATATATAGTGTCATCCACAGACAGACTGTTTCGCTGTATCACAGCTCATCAGTGTGGCTAGACATCCGGTTGCCTCTAGCTAGGATCGAAACCAGATTGAATTGGCGTCAGTCGGAGATTCTACCATTAAGCTGTTGGTCAATTTTAAGTATATTTATTTTTAGATAAACACACAGTGACTGCGAGAACTCAATTCGATTCGATTTATATATATATATATATATATATATATATATATATATATATATATATATATATATATATATATATATTATAATAAAAAAGAAAGAACAGTAAGATATATAATCCAGTGTTCTTATGGATATTTCTTATTTTTACAAAACAGTGCTCAATGTAAATAATTACCTGAACACGGTAGAAAATATTAATACTAGCAGTAAAAAAATCACAGATAAACTGAAGATTAGTGATAGAGTAGGTAAAGTATATGAAAGAGAGTGCTATATAACCTTAAAAGACCACAAACCAGATTTCGAAGCGAATCCGACTACAAGAAGACCTGAGATCGGC